CACCAGAAAACTGAAAGTGGCGCTGTAGCTCAAGTGGTAGAGCGCTCGCCTTGAGCTGAAGAGCTGAGGGACAGGGCCCAGGCCCAGAGTTCAAGCCCCACGACCGACCAAAAAAAAAAAAAAAAAAAGGATTCAGGTAGATAGGTAAGTAGAATACTATTTATATTTGGGTCCTTGATGACTATTAAACAGTACAAAACTGAGCCTCTTTATTGCTCCCCAAGAATTCATGAGGAGGCAGAAAAAAGAAAACCTTCAGCATGTTTCATATTTTCCCATTAAAGCAGTTTAAAGTGCTGATTTTCGGGGAGAGAGGCTAGTATTTGGAATTATACTCAAGGCCTCTACCAATTCAGTGTCTCTGTCAGCCCCTTTTTGCAGATGGGTATTTTGAAAATAGGGTCTCACTTTGTGCCAGGGCTGGCTTGGATTTTGATCCTTCTATTTGGCCTCCAGTAGCTAAACCTCAATCTCCTCTTCAGCAGCTAAGAGTTCCGACTTGAGCCAGCACTATAGGCTGAAATGCTGATTATTCATTAGCTTTGCCCCCGGGCTCCTCAGAGAGCCAAGGGAAGGAATCCAAGAGAAGGAATACAGGGGATCACACAGACTCCTTTTTCCAAGGCTGTTTCTCTAACCACACCTAGAAATGCTTTGAAGCTGCCCCCTGAAGGTGGGGAGATGGCCAACAAAGGCTGCAGCATCTAACTATTCAGTCTTTCTAGGAATGTTTTGGTAGATGCTTAGAGCACAACCTAGGAATTACACATACTACTTTGAAGAAGTCTCTGCCAACCAAAGACATTAATATCTCATTGTGTTTCATCTAGTGCTCTTTCATTGAATATAAGGACTTTAAGCTGATCTACCGGCAGTATGCAGCTCTGTTCATTGTGGTTGGAGTGAATGACATTGAGGTAAGGTGACAGAAGAGCCTTTGGAAAATATAAGAAAACTAGAGATCAGTCTGCTTTTTATTCCTCCTGAGTTGACATTTTCTTCCTATTTATCTCCCTAAAAGTAATTATGTCTCTTGAAGGATCTTGGCTATTTTTTTTAAGCTTCCATACAGCTTTTTGGAAGAAAAAATACCTATGATACTTCTTAGATTTGATGGACAGCTTGTCAATTGGAGAAGAATAAAACCACAGATTGTGCTCCTGTTTTGTTTTTTGTATGTGTGCCCGCCTTGCACTTTGAAACTGGGCCCTGTTCGAGTTTGTGTGCTCAAGGCTAGTGCACTTCCACTTGAACCACAGCTCCATTTGTGGCGTTTTGGTGGGTAATTAAAGAGTCTCATAGACTTTCCTACTTGAGCTGGCTTTGAACCATGATCCTCAGAGCTCAGCTTCCTGAATAGCTAGGATACTAGATATGAGCCATTGGCACCTGGCTTGTTTTGTGTGTATGTGTGTGTTTTAGACAAGGTCTCAGTATGTTACCCAGGCTGATCTCAAACTTGTGAGCTTAAACTATCTTCCCACCTCATCGTCAGAATTTACTGTGACTACAGGCTAGCACCATACAGCTTGCTAGACTATGTGCATTTATTCTAAGCAATACCACTGTCCCTCCCTTGTTCTGTCACATAATGAGGCAGTTCAGGCAAGCATACAAGCCAGTCAGGCATGACACTGAACATGGGCTGACATGTCAGAGTGAATTATAAACATGATTGTGTTTATGTCTCCTCAGATTTAGTTCATACTTCAGAAAGGTCAGCCTTGGATCACTAGCCCATGAGGCCATGGGACTTCTGAAAGGGAGTTCCAAATCTAAAGGACTGAGATCTCATGGAACTATTGCTATCCTTAAACCACTTTGACATGGTTTCCCCATCTGTACACATGTAAATATGGTTTCATTAAAGAACCTGAAAGCCCGGCACCGGTGGCTCACATCTGTAATCCTAGCTATTCAGGAGGCTGAGATCTGAGGATCGAGGTTCAAAGCCAGCCAGGGCAGGAAAATCTGTGAGACTCTAATCTCTATAAGCCACCAGAAATCTGGGAGTGATACTGTGGCTCAAGGGGTAGAGCGCTAGCCATGCACTGAAGAGTTCAGGGACAATGCCCAGGCCCAGAGTTCAAGTCCCAGGAGCTCAGAATTCTTAGACTCTGAAGTTTCAATTTGGCCAGATACTTTATGAGCTAAAAAGAAAAATATTCCAGGCTAAGGTTTTCTATATTTCCCCCACTAATAAATGTGTGTGTGTGTGTGTGTGTGTGTGTGTGTGTGAGTGAGAGAGAGAGAGAGAGAGAGAGAGAGAGAGAGATTGGGATTTGAACTCAGGCTTGTGCTTGCTAGGCAAGTATACTACCACTTGAGCCATGCCCACAGCCAATAAGCATTTTTTAAAATACATGAATGCTAGGCCTGTTGTAAGTATTTTCCAGTGAGAAGTTTCTTTGCTCACACTCTCATTACACTACCTGCACTAAAACCTGAACTTTTACTGGGTATTTCTCTTACAATTAATTGTACCCTTTCTATTTTGTTTCAGAATGAGATGGCTATTTATGAATTCATCCACAATTTTGTGGAAGTTTTAGATGAATATTTCAGCCGAGTGGTAAGTCTAATGGCTAAAAACTAATTATTTTCCTCAGCCCAACATCTTTCTTTCATTTTTCTTTCTTTCTTTCTTTCTCTTTCCTTTCTCTTTCTTTCCTTCCTTCCTTCCTTTCCTTCCTTTCTTTCTCTCTCTTTCTTCCTTTCTTTCTCTCTCTTTCTTTCTTTCTTTTTCTTTCCTTTCTTTCTTTCTTTTTTTCTGCAATTCAGTCCCTTTAGGTTAACAGAGCTTTAAAAGTTAAAATACAAATAATAACCTTTTTTTCCTTGCTCATCTGTATGCATTAGATCTTTTTGAAGAATCAATTCATAAAAGGTGAAATACATCTCAGATTTTTTTTTTCTCTCAGTTACCAAATTTTGCAATCTACATTGCTCTCACACTTTTTTCTTTCCACTGATTTCATTCCTGACATATCAGGACCGTTTACACTTTAAGAGTCATTTCCTTCTTTTCATGTGAATCCTTGCTTTTCTTTTTCTCCTTTTGGTACTGGAAATTGAACTCAACACCTTGTATAAGTCAGACAAAGCCATCTACCACTTGAGGCATACCCTTAGCCCTTTTGTATTTTATTTCTGAGATAAGGTCTCACTGCTAACTTTATCTGGGCTGGCTTACAATTTGAGATCTCCTGCCTCCACCTCCCAAGTAGCTGGGATTATAGCTGTCAAAACTTTTGTTTTGAGGGTCAAAAATCTACTCCTGCCAGGTACTGGTGGCTCACATCTGTAATCCTAGCTACTCAAGGAGGTTGAGATCTGAGGATAGTGGGTCAAAGCCAGCCCGGGCAGCAAAGACTGTGACACTCTTGTCTCCAATTAACCACTAGAAAACCAGACATGGCACTGTGACTCAAGTGGTAGAGCACTTGCCTTGAGCTGAAGAGCTGAGGGACAGTACCCAGGCCCAGAATTCAAGCCCCACGACTGAAAAAACAACAACTGTGTATGTGGAATATGTGTATTCCATTTCAACCATTCTCTTCTCTTTTATTTCAGTAGCTTGTGTTGAAATACAACTTGCATGCCATATAATTCACCCATTTAAAGTATATAATTAGGTTTTAGTATTTACATGGTCATGAAACCATTAGCGCAATTAACTTAAGGTAGTTGTATCACTTGACAAAAAGCGTATCTACTAACATTTCCCAATTAACTCTCTCTACTTACTCCAGGTTCTAGATAACCACTAATTTACTTGCTAGGTCTGCAGCGTGACCTGTTCTAAACTTTGAAGAATATAGAATTATATAGTATGTGGTGCACCTTTCTTTTACTGCTTGTATTTTTAATATTGTGCCCAAAAGATTTTCAGGTTTATTCCTATATTTTCTTCTTAGAGTTTAGCTCTATGTCTAGGTCTGTGATCCATTTGGGGTCATTTTTGTATATATCCTGAGTTATGAATCTAAGTTCCTTCTTTTTGTTTCTTCTTTTCTTTATAGTAGTACTGGGGTTTGAACTCAGGACCATGCACTTGCTATTCTACCACTAGCCTTGTTTTATGCTGGTTATTTTCAAATAGGGTCTCATGAACTTTTCTGAACAGACTGGCTTCAAACCTTCATACTTCCACTCTCAGTGTTCTGACTAGCTGGGATCACAGATGTGAACCACCAGCACCCAGCATTAACTTCATTCTTTTTTTTGCATGTAGATGTCCAGGCATCCAAACACCATTTATTGATACTATTCTTTCCCATGAATTGCCATGGCACCCTTGTTGGGAAACAGTCAACCATAAATGGATCTCAGTTCCTTGCCATTAATCTATATGTTTATCTTATATTAGTCCTACATTCTCTTGATAACTGTAGCTTTGGAGTAAGTTGAAAACTCAAATGTCTTTTCATTCAAAAAGAATCAGTGCAGACAGTTTGCTTTGCTACCATATGCTTTTCTGAGCCTTGGTTAGACATTTTTGTGACACAAGCTTATTGTTTTTCTGTTTTATTTAGTTCATATGAAGGATTAGGAAGAAACTGTTGGAATGTTGCTTTTTCCTGAGGCAGAGATAGACTTTGCTCCAAAATTAGAAATACTGAGTTAACAAAAAAACTGAGAAGCCAAAACATTGTGTTCAGAGGTCATGCCTTCCACCCATTGCTAAGCCAGAAATGAATTTTGGCAAACTCTTCTTGGGGCAATCAACTAGTCTGTCTTTGTTGTCATAGTACATTAGTTCTTTTTTTTTTTTTTTTTTGTCGGTCGTGGGGCTTGAACTCTGGGCCTGGGCGCTGTCCCTCAGCTCTTCAGCTCAAGGCGAGCGCTCTACCACTTGAGCTACAGC